ACCAGCTGTGTAGTCGATTACCGTGGGGCGCAGCCACGTTTTCTTCAGATTTGCACTTGAAAGCCGCGGCGCGAGAGGAGGCGCGCCACGGTATTCAACTACACAGCTGATGGATGCCACGGTATTTCGAGCCCGATTAATTGGGTGTGGAGTAGTAGATGCGTCGGACGTCGAACCTATCTGATACATCTGTTGTACAAACGCTGCGATCGCTACGATCGGAGCCGAAACCATGTAACCGCCCAGAAGATAAAGAGGTCATTCAGAGTCAGCGCTCCCTTTCTCGCTTATTAGCGCCAGAGTCAGTAATAAGAAAGACGTTGCAAGAACTTCAAAAACACATAAACCGTATCAAAACTTACTGTCAACCTGTAAGTGCTCATAGCGAACTTTGCTATTTTTGGGACTTTTCTGACCCCTATCAGTACTCGATAGGCCTAGTAACTAGCTTATTATAGTTTGGTTCCCGAATCATATCTAACCCAAGCCAATAATGAAGAAAGAACGTTGACATCTCGTACACAGCTGATGGATGACACACCGCGTTCGGGGAACACATAGCTACTGAACATTTTAGGAAATTCTCATTCATATAAAGTTTATAAATGATTAACTCATTTATAAGCTTCACATGGAAAGGACGAGAGAATTGTGGAGACTTTGAGTCCCCACTCAAAGTACGAATATCACAATTCTCCTAAGATACAAAACGTATTTTGAGCCAAGTCCCTTTGGAAAACATGAAACAAAGATGAACACTTGTCAAGAAGTCTGTGACCATTATTGTGTAAAACATACCGTAGAAGGCATCGCTTCTTCGATAAAAATACTGTTCCCTTCAATATTCATATTCTGGTAGTTGTAAGTAGCTCCATCTACAAGAATTTCTCCAGTTTCTTCTCCTTCATAAAAGTACGTCGCACCATCTTCATCAATGTGAACCATTTGGGCACCGCGGGCCTAAAAAAGCTCATTATAAAGAATTTGGACGACATCTCGGCGACACTGCACGTTCTTGCTTCTTTTTGCCCCGTGGATAGGCGCGATTCTGTAGGCGTTGTCGAAAAAGGCACAAATAAAAACTCAAATGATACGTGACACTTCATAACTATTTTTTAATCAGGACCTTCACAGCTACTATATTTAGTTATAATTTGTACAAAAAATAAACATTACAAAATAGAGTCTCACGGGCAAAAAAGATATTAGATATCATTAGATTCTATGGAACTGTCGCCCGCTGCGGTGAGGGGAAGGAGTGACGAGGTACAAAGCGATGAACTGAAAGTTAATGTGGCGAAAACTCAATACTACGCATCATAAAAATGAAAATTGCTCTTTCATTAGTTAGTCAGCCGAGGTTTCTAGTGTCAGATCCGTCAGAGTGTTCCTTTTGAAGGCTTCTTTCACCTTAGAATTCGAGAAGAAATACAATTTGGGACCACTTTACTGCACATACCAAACACAATAGTTCCATTTAGCATCATTTGTGCATCAATCGGTTAGACTGCGCAACTACTGGGTGTCCCGCAAGTAGCACGAATGTGAAACAAAACAGTAAAGCGTCTAAAAACAAGTCCCACAGTGGGTAACCTCCTGAAAGGGTAAGTTCATGGAGAAAGGAGGAGACAAAAATATTGTGTCACATTTCTGCACTCAACACTGAAAATGGTCTTTGCTTTGCCAACCTGTGAGTGGACGGTTCCACCGAAAAAGAATTAAAAGGTACACTCCATTTTATATTAATTCACTCCGTAGTAGCCTTTAAACAAACAGACGCCAACTTGAAAGTACGACAGGGAACGCAAAGCACTTTTGAGTACAGTAAGGGAACAGGGTGAAAATCGTGTCGAGTACGTGGTCGCAGAGGTACGACCCCCCCCCGAAATCGAGATCCTGGCACGACCCCCTCTAACAGAGCAAATTAATTCAATTAAAATAAATCCTGCAAAACAAATCAAAAAAAATTCTGCAAAATAATGCTAAGGACGCTTCATCTTGTCATCTATGCACGTCTTCCATCGCTGCATACTTTTGTGTACATACTGAAATATCGACTCGAGGAAAGAGGCATTAACTTTGTGTGACCTCAAGGCGAGGTTCGTTCAGAAACGCACAGAAATCCTGAAGACACGGGGTTGCGATTCAATCTTGATTCTTGCTTGAGTATATCAAAACAGCCGAGTGTATCAAAGGCCGATTCAACGGCAGCTGCGGCGCGATTGTCACTGGGTCAGATTTGCCGAAATTTCAAAAAAAAACGTCCGAATCTACACCCTCGATGAAAAGGTTGCATTCCTCCATTTCACAACCTTTGAAGCAGCTTGAGGTAGAGTTAGATAGAGCTGGATTTCGCGTTTCCAACAAGCATCGAAATTGCTCTGGAAGCCTTCCTTGCAGAAAGATAGGGTCTGTCAAATTTCGTCGAGTAAATGTCGAGGAGGCCGAAATTTTCACGCGAGTTTTTGCCACTTCAAGAGCAATATATCTCTTATATTGTAAGATCCTGAAAAAGGGAAGATAGTTTTGGAAAGCGGAAGGTTTGCGCTTCCTGATGGTCTGTTTAGTTTTCTTCTACAGCTTTTTGGTTGAAGAGATAATTGCGTCGAGGATCTATCGAGGTCGGATCCGGCCACCTGGAAATCCGCTCCCTCATTCACCATTGCAAGTGTGACTCGTTGGCAACACTCGGAATGTGTCTAGAACAATATCTTTGAACGCAAACAATAAGAATAGGAGCAATCGTCATCATCCGATTTGGTATTGGTATAAGCCATGCATCCCTCCTCCACTCACAGTTGCAGAATCGATTGAAAGGTGTTATATGATGGGGACCTTCGAACGAAACTGTATTGTAGTAGACATAGTGTGTTGTGCTATTCCTGTAACCTAAAAAACAACTTCATTTGCCCAGCGCTTTTTCTTCACGGTTGTCGTTTTTCCGACAGGGTCCCTAACAACAGCGTCATTCTCAGCGAGGTATTAAGGGAGAAGGAGCGAGTGATAGGCGGAGGAGGTGCCTTTGCAGCGCGTGCGCACATGTGGCAGTCTTCTTTGCGGGGATGCACTTTCATTCTTTGTACTGCCTTCAAATACGCCCTTCTCATGAAGGTGGAGGAATGGAGCGACTGAACCTGCAAAGAAAATTTAATATCATGTTTTTTTCGGATGTTTTCATTTTCTGCTGCGCTATACCCTATTACCTATCTGCACCATGATACCACTTCTGTTACTGACCCCCAAGAGTACGACCCCCCATGGACCAGCCCAACAGGTACGACCCCCCTGTCGAGGATTTCCTCGACCGATATTCACCCTGGCTGTTTACAGGTACCATACAATTATACGAAGTTATCCGAAAGTGGTTGGGCCCTTCTTCTTTCCTTCTTGTCCTTCCCTCCAGCTGCCGCCGCAGCACCACGGAATGACCGTAGTGTGGATCTTCAAGCTTGCTTCTAGTAGCGATTTGTTTACTCTACTTATCAGATGCCTCCATTCTGCGGACGGACTGATCTACACACATACGACATAAACACTGAAAAAACCGTAACACCAGGTTGTGGTTCAAATAATGAACTACTAAGAGCTAATGGCAGGAGCAGTCCAGTGACGTGAATGAGGAAGTTGCGCAGCTGCAGGCTGAATGACGACAGAACGGTTTTTTTAGGGATTTTGTTTACAGCTAGGCCTCCAATACCTCGTTATTCTATACATAAGCCTTACTAAAGCGCGCTATGAGCAGAGTATTAATTTTGATCCTTACTATGCAAATTCGGTCTGAGGGAGTCGCCGAGGGGTGCAATACTACCGACTTCTTCCGCAACGCGTACCTACATGACTATAGCTAATACATAACGGAGTAGGAGGAAATTAAAGTATGTCAGGAAAAGAGAAGGATTGAAACAGCTGTGTCGTAACTTGCTACGAGGCGTATCATAATAAGGAAAAAAACAAAAAAAAACATATATCAAAGCTGATTAAGTGACAAACATACGATATGTTGTCCATCAAGCATTCCCGAATCTTCAACAACAGCGATATCTGAGCCATTAGCGACATTTTGGAACATCCCTACCTAAAGAAGGTACCACATATAGGAGTCAAGTATATAGAGCAATAGATATCAAGCGAATGTACACTTTTTAGTTTACCTTTTGATAGCGCTCCTCCTCTGGAACAAACATATCGAGATCATTGATCATCTGAAAATAACGATCAACGTAGATGAGAAAAAGGTATGTAGCATCGTTTTCACTCTAGCAAAGGCAGAGAACCGATTTTACCTCGTTCTCTATAGAAATGTCCTGCTCAAGAAGAGGCATTGCCACAGAAGGGCTTGCATCGCTCACTACCGTCATCTGCATATTCTCCTCGTTTTCGCCGACATCGATGACCTCTATAGGCTGCTCCTCACTTTGTGGAACTACTGCGTGCGCAGTCTTGGGCTCCCGTGAATGCGTGTCAAGAGATTGAATATCCATTTCACGTTGCTGATTTTCTTCTCGTGTCTCCTTCAAAATTGAAATATATCAACTGAAACAATGTAAGTATCAGACGGGTTCGAAACCTTCTCACCTGAGGTGGCGCAGATTCATAAATCACATCCTCTTCGTATACTGGAACCACGATCGAGTTGGCGATGATATCACGTAAACGCACCTCATCCATCATCTTTCGTTGGAACTCCACAGGCTGAAAGATTATATGGATTACCAGCTAAACTCCTAGTAAATTTAAAATATGAAAAGGTCCTCAATGAAGAATTAACAAGAAAAAAGATACTTGCTAAGTTAACTGTTCCGCACTAAAGCTATACTTAATGAAAAATATTAAAATATTGATTAAATCAATTACTATGCAATTAGACGACCTTCGACACCTAAATTTATGATCAAGGTTGTATTGGCCTCCAAAACAACTTTCGCAAAACTTCTTCCGATGCCGGGAATCGAACCCGGGCCTTGCGGGTGAGAGCCGCAAATCCTAACCACTAGACCACATCGGACTGATGGTGAGGCCGTTCGACAGCTAGCCATAGACAAAGTGCAGGGGCACTAGTAGCACTACGGAGGAGTCCGTTTTAACGTCAGTACTTCGAAATTATACCAACAGAACAATTACATTACATCGAACAAAAATAAAATAGCAAAAGTAAAGATTACATTACAGCATATAATATCTTTGCCTTAATTCAGCTGTTAAGGTAACAAGAAATAAATTCTGACCTCAACTGTCAATGAAAGCAGAACCCTATTTATGGGAGTGAATGTGAGAAAAATGGACTGTTTATCCCTCAGCCAAAATTAGAACTTTGTGATTTTGGCGATTGCTAGGGCTCGTCAATGAGTTGGGCTTGAACAAATGAACGGGAGGATCGCTTCTGTGTATGAG